GCTTAGCCACTGTGCCATCTCTCCAACCCTCATAGACTGGTTATTAATCCTCCTTCAACCTGCTCTGGGATCCATCTGGAGCTTAACCCATTCCTCTGCGGTAAACCTCTTCACACAGCTGTCTTCCACGTGCCAGGATTCAGGCTCTGCGGCAAACACTGCACAGCAGAATCTCTCCACTCTGAGCGCACACACATATGCACACGCAGCTCCGGATTTGTGCACTTTGATAAATTTGCATGTGTACTTGATCTTCTCTTTCTCCTCACAGAAGTGAGTGACAGGCAACTGTCGGATGCACTTTTCTATTGCACTCTCTAGATGCACAAGGTCGCTCTTCTTTGCTTCAAAACCAATTATTCGCTGTTTTTTCCCATCCAAACCAATGAATAAATATCCCCCATCCGTGTTTGCGAAAGCAGAAACAGTTCGAGGGAGGAGCTCTTTGATGTGTTTTCGCAGGCGTTTCGCTGAAGGCGATGTAACTTCAACATATGTGGATCTGGTAAAGTGGAAAGTTTCCTCATACTGAAATTCTGTCTTGTTAAAAAACGCAGCAGCCAAATCCTCCAGGTGACATTCTTCTTCTACCTCAGGGAAGGCTCTACTTGCAGGCAACTCCGGTCTGACACAGGGTCTCCCTCCAGTTTCCTCCAGGTCCTGGAGAAATTCTAGAGCAGCGTCAGCACTCACGTGTACGGAGGATGACATGCTCCTCACATACAGATTGGTTCTCAGGGTGCCAATAGGCAGTCCAAAGATTTCCTGGCTCCACAATTTCACGTAGATATAAATGTAGCCTTCGTACTCCGTGAAGTTCAGGTGCCACTGGACAAACGGCAGACATTTAGAAAGAGAGGCTTCCAAATCTAGTCCCAGGCCATCCCTAGTGAGACTATAATTTTCGTTTTCAACTTTAACCTTGATGGCTCCACCTCCCGAATTCAGAAGAGCACATACAGCTAGAGAGATGTTTTCATTCTCCTTCTTCCTGAGGTGAGAGTTCATTTTCTTTCTATCCTTCTCTCCAAGTGTCATTGCTCCTAGATTTAGACACAGCTTAGCATATGTGGCTTCCAGATTGACGCTGATATCCATTTTCCCAGAAGCCTTTGGATGTTCCACCTGAATGTCATTCCTGGAAAACAGACAGAGAAGTTAGAATAAGAGCTAACTAGGAGATAGCATCTTCTGTACCGGGAGACCAACAGCACAGTCCTCAGGTCATATGCTCCAAGGGCTCAGTCAGTGTGCCGGTGGAGAAATGGTTGTTTTTTCACAGACTTTGCACTTACTAGCAGAACTTTTACGCCTACTAGTTTTTAGATGTAATGTTACAGGTATAGTTGAGCGTGTTCAGATTTTTAATCCCATTTTAATCTTTGCTCATTTCTTTTCTGGTCCTTAATAATGTATTCAGTCTTCTTTCAATAAAAACCCTCTGTGGACCTGTACTGGTCTTTTCTGTACCAGAGGCTTTAGTTATGCAATGATGTAGACGTGCTTATTTTGTGTCTATTGGTGCTCTGCCTGCATGTATGTACCATGTGCATGCAGTAACCCTGGTGGCCAGAAGAGGGCAGCGTATCTCCAAGAACTGGAGTTACAAGTGGTTGTTTTCCCCATGTAGGTGCTGGGAAGTGAATCCTGGTACTCCAGAAGAGCAGCCAGTGCTCTTAACCCCTGAGCTATCTCTCTAGCCCAGTTTCAAGTTATTTATGATTATTATGATTGTAAATAAGATGAAGAACAATACAAAGACATCTGACCTTGACCTCTGCCCTCCAAACTCCAAACAAGTTACAAGTGATTACTATTCCTTAATGCCAATATCTTTTTCTTTCTTAGGAAGGCTGCCCAGATGTGAATCCATTTGCTCTACTGAACACATAGGAGAAAGCCTGTGTCTCCACCTGGAAATACTACTGAGAGCCATAGATACTGGTGTCCACCTACTTTCCCAGCACACAGGTTGCTAAAGCATAAACTGTAGGTTTTTGTCGGTGGTTTTTGCATGACAACGGCCCCCATAGACTCAAATATTTGAACAATTGTCCCCAGTTGATGGAAATGTTTGGGAAGTATATAGCAGGTGTGGCCTTGTTGGAGAAGGTATGTCACTGGAGATGGTCTTTGAAGTTTTAAGAGACTAACCCATTCCCAGTTAGTGCTCGCTCTCGCTCTCTCTCTCTCGCTCTCTCTCTCTCTCTCTCTCCCTCTCCCTCTCCCTCTCCCTCTCTCTCCAATTCAAGATGTGAGCTCTCAGCAGTTCTGTTACCATGGACTCTAACTCTCTAAAGCCCTAGAGCAAATTAAATTCTACTTTCATAAGTTGACTTGATGTCTTAGTTATGGTTATTATTCCTATGATGAAACACCATGACCTAAAAGAAGAGGAGGAGGAACCGGTTTATTTGGCTTCCTTCTGCATCCTACTCCATCACTGAAGGAAGTCAGAACAGGAACTCAAACAGGGCTGGAACCTAGAGGCAGGAGCTGATCCAGAGGCTATAGGGGGTGCTGGTTACTGGCTTGTTCCCCATGGTTTGCTTAGTCTGGTTTCTTCCAGAACCCAGGACCACCAACCCAGGGGATGGCACACCCTACAGTGGGCTGGGCCTTCTTTCATCACTCACTAAGAAAATGTCCTACAGGCTTGCCTGCAGCCCAGTCTTACAAATGCATTTTCTTCATCAAGGTTTCTCCTCTGAATTGTTTGATTATACTATGTCAGGTTGACATACTCGTAGCCAGCATAACCGACTGCTTGTCAGTTGTAGTGGGTTGGCCTGATGGCGCTTGTACTCTGATGCTAATATTGGTTCTTCAAGATCTGGGTGCCCCAGAGACAAGAGTCTGCACATAGATCCTGACAGCATGTGACCTCCAAGTTATTTGTGATTGGGAATAAATATGCCAACAACCAATACCTGGGCAGAAGAGACAGAGGCGGGTTTTAGGGTTCTTGGGCTTGGGGCCTGAAGAAGAAACAGGAAGAAATTGAAGAAGCTGCCACCATGGGTCAGATGACTTCATAAAAATGTGTTCCTGAGGGCTGGCCAGTTGGATTTCAGAGGAGCCCAGATGAAACACAGTAAGTAATACTCGGGGTTATCGATAGGGAAGTAGACTCTAACAGCATAGAGGGTAGATATCTACCCATCTCTTGTGCTGTTTAAGGCTTATTGTAAATAAAGTTGTGTGGGCCTTTTATCAGGGAACTGAATGATCACGGCAGGGTAGAAACCGTGGTAATGGATTAAAAATGTCTACAATAGTCAGTGTGTTAAGCCACCACCTTTTTTTTTCTTGTTCAAACCTACCAAAACCAAAAACAAGCTTTCAAAAGTCCTTTCAGTTCAGCCCAGTCAGAAGCTGCAGCCCCAGCTTGTTCCATGCTCTGTTAAGCAGTCTCTGTTCTTCCTCATTCCTTCCCAAGCCCTCAGCCAGCACCCCCTGAGCACTCCCTGTTCTCAGCCAGCACCACATCTCACACCAAAGTACAAAAGAACAATGGTCATGACACTCTCAGCCCTGGGAAATTCAGAGATCACAGGTCTACAGTGCAGTCACATTTATAGGCGCTGTGGGCTAGCCTAGGATACTGGCCATTGCACTGGTACCTCTGTAACTATGAAACATTGTCAATTGTTTAAAATGTGCATCTCTTAGGCAGGTATTGGAGACTTGTTCCTTCAAAAACAAACAGGTGAGCTACAAACCCAGGCATGTAAACTCATTAACCACCCTGTAGATTTAGGTCTGCTTCACCATTCAGATGACTATCCCCCCTCCCCCTTCCCCCACTCCACCCCTGAAATCCTAGTGTTGGCTGGAGAAAGTTCTCTGAGACTTCAGTTTAGAATTTAAAGTGTCTTGTTAGCTGTTCTCAGAGGGAAAGAACATGGTATCCAGATCCAGGCACTGCAGATTGGCAGGGAAACACAGAGGCAGGAGCAGGAGCTGCCTCATGGGGAATAAGAAGAGATGGTATATTCTCACACACCTCTGGAGCTGCTTTGCAGTTGGTTTGGGAGAACAGTGTAAGCTTTTCAGGGCTCTAGCACCTACCTCCTTTTTCATCTTGAATACATTTCCACTTCCTCCCTCCCTGTGGGTTACATTTACTCATCTCCCTACCTGGCCCCCTGGGGAACCCTCAGGAGGCTCCTGAGACCAGCAGGAGCCTGATTTCCCCACATCCTCCTGTGAGGAGGGACCAGAGGCTGCTTATTCCATCACCTGACCCTGCCAAGGGCAGTGGCCACCACAGGAGCCAGCCACCACAGGTCTTTGCTCTCTCTCCCTCCCTCCCTTCCTCCCACCCTCTCCCTGTCCTCTCCTCCTCCTCTGCCCTCTCTGTTCCCTCTCAGCCTTAGCCGCTGTGTGTCTCCAGTTCCCTCTGTCTCCATGTCTCGTTCTGCCTGTCTACCCTTATCTCTCCTTTATGTTTCAGCTCTGAGGCACCTTTCACTCTCTCCCTAATAAACCTCTTAGACTAGATCTGTGGTGTGACATAGTTTGTCAGAGATATACCAGGGCACAGACCCTCCAAAAGTACCTAACGCCTGGCTTGCAGTTTTATCCTGTGTCCTCTGCCTCTATAGTTCAGGCTCAGACCAAGGAGAACCTGAGCTCTCTCCCTGGACTCTTCAGCATTCCCTCTACACAAGAAGACACAGGTATTTGTCCTCCCCCACAACTCAGCAGGTTGCCCAAGCCCTTCACAGGCAGTTTGTTAACACTTTGTTAAAATGGGTTACCAAAACTCCAAGGAGCCAAGATACTTAGTAGAGACAGAAACTAACCAAGGTTCCAAAGAGAGGTGGGTTGTACTGATGACCCCCATATGGTCCCAGAGCGACTAGACTGTACCCAGGGGTGGAAGTTAGGGACAGAAAAGGCATTAGGGGGTGGGGCTTGAGTAGGCTGTAATTCAGTGGTCACTTACCTGTGAGCTCTGTCGTTGCCTTCCTCAGTTGCCTGAAGTCCAGTGCCCATGCCAGCAGACAGCCCCCTTGGTGAGGCAGGCTAGTGTCACCTGAGAAAGACCCTCTGTCTGCCACAAGTCCTGGCCAGCGGATGTCTTCGCCAGTGGGCTTTGGCACTTGGAAGTGTTCTAACTGCAGCCCTGGTTGCCTGCTCACCTCTAAGCCCACCTGAGTTCTTTGTTCTTTGCTGCATTAAAGCTTTGCACAGATGGATCCCATCTCAGCTCTGGTGGAAGACTGAAAATCCCAGACCGGTGAATATCTTTAGTCACCCTCCCTCCAGGAAGTGAAAGCCCTGGGTGAGCAAGAAGGAACCACGGGGGTTTTTCATTGGTCAGAATGAAACACAAACCTCACCAGTTGAGCAATCAGAGCTAAGTGCATCAGCCATTCCCCGAGCAGCAAGGCAGTTCCTTTGCTTAAAAGAGCAGGTGCCCCTGTTAATGTCTCTAGAGTCCCTCCAGTCCAGGGCTTAAGACAGGCACAGCACTCCCAGGCAGGAAAAGGAGGATCCTCCTGCCAGCAGATTCCTAGAGCCCTCAGGAAATTCTCTCTTTGGGATTCCCAGGGCTACCCTAAAGCAATACACCTCTCCTGCCACTCTGTTACAGTAACACTTCCCTAACTTGTTACATCAAACTCTGCCTTAAGAACTGATTCTGGGGGGGAAGGGAGGATGGGATAGGGAGTTTTGGGGGAGGTGGTGCGAGGGGCAGGAAGCAGGAAAGGGCTTCATTTACATTTGAAATGTACATAAAGAAAATACCCAATAAAAGCATATAAAAAAGAAATATTGTCAACATGCATTTTAACCTTCCAAGGATGATAATTTTTATTACAATTTAACTGCATATTTTAGTGCTATGTTAGTCTTAATATATAATTTTTATATTGTAAAAAAATAAATTACTGACTTGTGAATTTAAAAAAAAAGAAACTGATTCTTGAAGACCTCCGCAGAGGGGAGACCCTCTCTCAAGTCTCAGAAAGTCGCGACCACCCAGTAATCTGCTCGAGACACCATGTACCGGAGCAATTGCGAGGTTATTTATTAGGGTGTGACAACTAGCTGCAGGTCAATTTGTATGCCCACGCAGGAGCTGAATTGATCCCGACTGCCAGTTTGGAACGGGTTTTAAAGGGAAAAACCACAAACCAAGGAAATGAGGAGGGGGTGAGGGGGTTGCTAGGGTGGTATAACATAAAAATAGTGGAACATTCCAAAGGAACCCAACCTACATGAGTCAGGATCAGATGAAAACTCTCTGTACGCCTATCTTTCTCAAGAATGTAGTCCTGCCCTGTCACTTCGGCCTTGCCCTGTCACTATGGTTCTCAGCTTGGTTCCACCTGACTAAATTGCATTCTTTCCTTTCTCTTTGCGGGTCGGCCAGTTCCAGTAATGGTGACTGGTCTTTCCACATTCCTAAAGAAAGCCTAAAGAATATTTTATATGTCTAAAAAGGATTCTATATACCCAGTATCTATAATTTTCTCTCTACATTCTGTTTCTTAGTGCTTAGGAACTGAACAAAATATTCAGTTTCTTTGTTACATTTTTACACCTGGCTTTGCTCATGATCTGCCCACTGTCTCCCTCTCTTACCCAACTGCCTGCACCCCCACACCCCCACATCACAGGCTTGGGAGTACAAAGGGCTGAAATGTTCAGCTCACTGGGGCTTCTCTGCTGTGAATCTCTTTGTATGGGCAGCATCACCTCATTCCTACTCCACACTCTACTGCCTGCAGGAAGAAGTGCAAGCCAGAACTCCACTGTCTCTCCACCCTAAGGGTCCAGAACCAGGGCTCTTCCATCTGGGCTGTTTCATTGCCTGTCACTACCAGGTTCTGAGGAAACTGACTCAGAGACCTTTAGAATCTCTTTTTTAATCTCTAATTTAAGAGATAAAGTGTAGCAGGTTTCCGGAGTTGGTGAGGGTTGGGTAAAACATGAAAAACATAAAGGAGAATATTTGCATCAATACCCAGAAACTGAACAACAACAACAACAACAAAAAATCCCCCTCTGTGCTTGGGTATCAGGAGGTGTTAAAAGGAAGTGGTTAGGGGGAGGGGCTTAGCCAATCCAGTTCAATGACATATGAATAGAACACAGCTGGACTCCTCCCACACTCCAAAAGGCAGTCCAAATAACTTGTGAAGCCTGTTTCTGTCGGCCAAGAGTCATTTCCCATACCTCTGTCAACAGGGACTCATGACACCTCTTAGCACAGCAAGGCCCCTGCTAGTCTCCAGGCTTTCTCAGGCCCTACTCACCAGCACTTCTTTAAACACCTCAAAGCCTCTAGTCCAGTTTCCTACCTTCCCTGCCCCCAGCTACTGTCTCTTCATGTGACCCAGCTATTCTCCCCTCCCTTGCACACAGCCTTGCTCATGTCCTCCCTACTGGCCGTGGTCAGTCCACTTCTTTCTCTCTCTGCTCTGGACTCTCCAGATGCCTCTGGCTGTTCTCTCTCCCTCTGTCTAAATAAAACCTTAATCTTCCCATGGAACAGTCATGTAGGCAGTGTCTTTACTGTTGCCCCTCACATACACACATATACCTGGTGCCAAAACCCTCAGATGCATAGGAAACTGCAGTTTTCCCACTTCATTCCATAGACACTGAACCCAAAGGTTACATTGTATCTGCTTGTATGTTAGCATTTACCAACACATGGCATTCTACTCCTCCTGTTTAGTAAAAGAGACTGCTTTTAAAAACGAGTTAATAAACTCAGCAACCGGTAGGACCGAGATGTTTCGAGAATTATTTTGAAAACACACTTTCTCCTTTGACATGATCAATTGCAATCTTTAATGTACATCCCTACAGTGTAAGGTGACACTGTGTGTATGTGCATGGGTATGTGAGGTGTGTGTGCCTGCTCCTGTGCATGTTGTATGCATGCTTGTGTGGGTGTGTGTATGCGTGTGTATGTGCATGAGCATGTGGGAGTATGTGTACACATGTGTGTGCCTGTGTATTTTTATGTGTGCTGAGGGTGGAGTACATGTGTGTACTACTGAGTATAATATGCAAAAATTTACATACAATACTTACAACTATCTTCAATAGGGAAATTTGTCTTTGGTTATATTTCTGTAAGCACCCCACCTACTTACCAGACCAAGGTCAGCTAATATGATCTCAAGGAATTAAACCAGACCCGTCAGAGGGGACACGATAAGCTGGAGGCTGTGACAGTGTTACTGAGATCAATCAGACTTTTTATACCTTTATTAGAAACAGACTATAGTGGCAATTGCCAGGATCAATACACTTGTTGTTGCCAGGATACAGTGATGATTGCAAACTTTATAGGTTACACAGGTTGGTTTCTAAGACCAATTGTCTGTCAAGTTTCCGTGCCTCATTGACTACTAAAGGAAAATACAGAGAAACACAAAGTGACCTGAATGATTCAGTGCCTGAGGGAGTGCCTCAGTCTCTCAGGAACAGGAAGGCACATTGTGCCCCAGGAGCCATGGACTCCAACCTGAAAAATCCATGACCCATTCTTCTCAGGTTCACACAGGCCAGGCCTACTCCATGGTTTCTTGCAATTCCCAGGTTGTGGTTTTTAATTTTAGGCTATACAAGACAATCTTCAAAGCAGACACAGAGTAGCATTAATATTAAGGCTATGATACTTCCCAGAGAAAAAGTTCTCAGAGACATTACTTTGGGACATAGTTTAGAGGAC